GCCTATTTCCAAGCCAGCAAGGGCATGGGAGGGTTGCGAGCATCATCAGGTATCGGCGCTCGCAAATGAAGAGCGCCCGCTGCACTTCCTGCACATGTGCGGATGCTTCAGCGTTTTGGGGTTGGAAGCGCTCGTTAAGAGCGTTTTTCTTCCGCCGGGTCACGTGGCTGCGCTTTTCTGGGCCTATTGCCAACCTAGCAAGGGCGTGGGAGGGTTGCGAGCATCTTCGGTCATCGGCGCTCGCGAATGAAGAGCGCACGCTGCACTTTCTGCACATGTGTGGATCCTTCCGCGTTTTGGGGCTGGAAGCGCTCGTTCCGAGCGTTGTTCTTCCGCCGGCGGCACATGGTTGCGCTTGTTTGGGCCTATTGCCAAGCCAGCAACGGCGTAGGAGGGTTGCGAGCATCATCGGTCATCGGTGCTCGCGTATGAAGAGCGCCCGCTGCACTTCCTGCACATGTGCGGATCCTTACGCGTTTTGAGGCAGGAAGCTCGATCGGATCGTATTCCTTCCGTCTGGTCACGTGGCTGCACTTGTCTGGGCCTATTGCTAAGCCAGCAAGGGCGTGGGAGGGTTGCGAGCATCATCGGTCATTGACGCTTGCGAATAAAGAGCGCCTGCTGCACTTTCTACACATGCGCGGATCCTTCCGCGTTTTGGGGCTGGAAGCGCTTCTTCCGAGCGTTTTTCTTCCGCCGGCAGCACGTGGCTGCACTTGTCTGGGCCTATTGCCATGCCAGTAAGGGCGTGGGAGGGTTGCGAGCATCATCGGTCATCGGCGCTCGCGAATGAAGAGCACTTGATACACTTCCTGCACATGTGTGGATCCTTCCACGTTTTGGGGCTGGATGCGCTCGTTCCGATCGTTTTTCTTCCGTCTCGTCATGTGGCTGTGCTTGTCCGGGCCTATTGCCAAGTTAGCAAGGGCGTGGGAGGGTTGCGAGCATCATCGGTCATTGACGCTCGCTAATAAAGAGCGCCTGCTGCACTTCCTGCACATGAGCGGATCCTTCCGCGTTTTGGGGCTGGAAGCGCTCGTTCCGAGCGTGTTTCTCCCGCCGGCGGCACGCGGCTGCGCTTTTTGTGAGAATTAGCAGGCAGAAACAGAATTGAAGAAAGGAGGGGTTTCACTAGCAGCAGTTGGGATACATATAGCAAACCCTAACTGGGTTGTACTCGCTATAGAGCACCCCACTACAGGCTAGATAATAACATTCTGACACTTTTCTGGGCTTATTGCCAAGCCAGCAAGGGCGTAGGAGGGTTGCGAGCATCATCGGTCATCGGCGCTCGCGTATTGGGGCTGCACATGTGCGGATCCTTCCGCGTTTTGGGGCTGGAAGCGCTCGTTCCGATCGTTCTTCTTCCGTCTGGTCACGTAGCTGCGCTTGTCTGGGCCTATTGCCAAGCCAGCAAGGGCATGGGAGGGTTGCAAGCATCATCGGTCATTGTTTCTCGAGAATAAAGAGCGCCTGCTACACTTCCTGCACATGCGCGGATCCTTCCACGTTTTGGGGCTGGAAGCGCTTGTTCCGAGCGTTTTTCTTCCGCCGGCGGCACGTGGCTGCACTTGTCTGGGCCTATCGCCAAACCAGCAAGGGCGTGGGAGGGTTGCGATTATCATCGGTCATCGGCGCTCGCGTTTGAAGAGAACCTGCTGCACTTCCTGCACATGTGCGGATGCTTCCGCGTTTTGCGTCAGGAAGCGCTCATACTGAGCGTTTTTCTTCCACCGAGTCACATCGCTGCACTTGTTTGGGCCTACAGCCAAGCCAACAAGGGCGTGGGAGGGTTGCGAGCATCATCGGTCATCGGCGCTCGCGAATGAAGAGCGCCCGCTGCACTTCCTGCACTTGTGCGGATCCTTTTGCGATTTGAGGCTGGAAGCGCTCTTTCCGAGCGTTTTTCTTCCGCCAAGTCACATGGCTGCGCTTGACTGGGCCTATTGCCAAGCCAGCAACGGAGTGGGAGGGTTCCGAGCATCATCGGTCATTGGCGCTCGCGAATGAAGAGTGCCCGCTGCACTTCCTGCACATGTGCGGATCCTTCCGCGTCTTGGAGCTGGAAGCGCTCCTTCCGAGCACTTTTATTCCGTCGGGCCATGTGGCTGCCCTTGTCTGGGCCTATTGCCAACCCAGCAAGGGCGTGGGAGGGTTGCGAGCATCTTCGGTCATCGGCGCTCGCGAATGAAGAGCGCCCGCTGCACTTCCTGCACATGTGCGGATCCTTTTGCATTTTGAGGCTGGAAGCGCTATTTCCGAGCGTATTTCTTCCGCCAAGTCACGTGGCTACGCTTGTCTGCGCCTATTGCCAAGCCAGCAACTGTGTGGGAGGGTTACAAGCATCATCGGTCATCGGCGCTCGCGAATGAAGAGCGCCCGCTGCACTTCCTGCACATGTGCGGATCCTTCCGTGTTTTGGGGCTGGAAGTGCTCGTTCCGAGCGTTTTTCTTCCACCGGGTCATGTGGCTGCGTTTTTCTGGGCCCATTGCCAAGCCAGCAAGGGCGTGGGAGGGCTGCGAGCATCATCGGTCATCGGCGCTCAAGAATGAAGAGCGCACGCTGCACTTCCTGCACATGTAAGGATGCTTCCGCGTTTTGGGGTTGGAAGCGCTCGTTCCGAGCGTTTTTCTTCAGCTGCGTCACATGGCTGCACTTGTCTGGGCCTATTGCCAAGCCACAAAGGGCGTGGGAGGGTTGCGAGCATCATCAATGATTGGCGCTCGCGAATAAAGAGTGCCCGCTGCACTTCCTGCACATTCACGATCCTTCCGCGTTTTGGGGCTGGAAGCGGTCGTTTCGAGCGTTTTTCTTCCGCCAGGTCATGTGGTTGCGTTTGTCTGGGCCCATTGCCAAGCCAGCAAGGGCGTGGGAGGGTAGCGAGCATCATCGGTCATCGGCGCTCACGAATGAAGAGCGCACGCTGCACTTCCTGCACATGTGCGGATGCTTCCGCGTTTTGAGGTTGGAAGCGCTCGTTCCGAGCGTTTTTCTTCCACCGCGTCACATGGCTGCGCTTGTCTGGGCCTATTGCCAAGCCACAAAGGGCGTGGGAGGGTTGCGAGCATCATCGGTCATTAGCGCTCGCGAATAGAGAGTGCCCGCTGCACTTCCTGCACATTCACGGATCCTTCCGCGTTTTGGGGCTGGAAGCGGTCCTTTCGAGCGTTTTTCTTCCACCTGGTCACGTGGCTGCGCTTGTCTGGGCCTATTGCCAAGCCAGCAAGGGCGTGGGAGGGTTGCCAGCATCATCGGCCGTCGGCACTCGCGAATGAAGAGCGCCCGCTGCACTTCCTGCACATGTGCGGATCCTTCCGCGTTTTGGGGCTGGAAGCGCTCGTTCCGAGCGTTTTTCTTCCGCCTGGCTGCGATTATCTGGGCCTATTGCCAAGCCAGCAAGGGCATGGGAGGGTTGCGAGCATCATCGGTCATCGGCGCTCGCGAATGAAGAGCGCCCGCTGCACTTCCTGCACATGTGCGGATCCTTCCGCGTTTTGAGGCTGGAAGCGCTCGTTCCGAGCGTTTATCTTCCGCCGGGTTACGTGGCCGCGCTTGTCTGGGCCTATTGCTCAGCCAGCAAGGGCGTGGGAGGGTTGCGAGCATCTTTAGTCATCGGCGCTCGCGAATGAAGAGAGCCCGCTGCACTTCCGGAAGGATCCGCACATGTGCAGGAAGTGCAGCGGTCGTTCTTCATTCGCGAGCGCCGATGACCGATGATGCTCGCAACCCTCCCACGCCCTTGCTAGCTGAGCAATAGGCTTAGACAAGCGCAGCCACGTGACCTGGCGGAAGAAAAACGCTTGGAACAAGCGCTTTCAGCCCCAAAACGCGGAAGGATCCGCACATGTGCAGGAAGTGCTGCGGGTGCTCTTCATTCGCGAGCGCCGATGACTGATGATGCTCGCAACCCTCCCACGCTCTTGCTGGCTGGTAACTGGCCCCGACAAGCACAGCCACATGACCCGGCGGAAGAAAAACGCTCGGAACGAGCGCTTCCACCACCAAAACGCTGAAGGATCCGCACATGTGCAGGAAGTGCAGCGGGCGCTCTTCATTCGGGAGCGCCGATGAGCGATGATGCTCGCAACCCTCCCACGCCCTTGCTGGCTTGGTAATAGGCCCAGACAAGTGCAGCCACGTGACCCGGCGGAAGAAAATCTCTAGGAACGAGTGCTTCCAGCCCCAAAACGCGGAAAGATCGCACATGTGTAGGAAGTGCAGCGGGCGCTCTTCATTCGCGAGCTCCGATGACCGATGATGCTCGCAACCCTCCCACGCCCTTGCTGGATTGGTAATAGGCCCAGACAAGTGCAGCCACGTGACCCGGCGAAAGAAAATCGCTCGAAACGAGCGCTTCCAGCCCCAATACGCGGAAGGATCCGCACATGCGCAGAAAGTGCAGCGGGCGCTCTTCATTCGCGAGCGCCGATGACCGATGATGCTCGCAAGCCTCCCATGCCCTTGCTGGCTTCGTAATAGGCCCAGACAGGCGCAGCCACTTGGTCCAGTGGAAGAAAAGTGCTCGGAAGGAGCGCTTTTAGCTCCAAAACGCGGAAGGATCCGCACATGTGCAGGAAGTGCAGCTGGCGCTCTTCATTCGCGAGCGCCGATGACCGATGATGCTCGCAACCCTCCCACGCCTCTCCTGTCTTGGAAATAGGCCCAGACAAGCACAGCCACATGACCCGGCGGAAGAAAAAGGCTTGGAACAAGCGCTTCCATCCCCAAAACGCGGAAGGATCTGCACATGTGCAGGAAATGCGCTCTTCATTCGCGAGCGCCGATGACAGCTCCTCTCGAAAAAAATACGTGAAATGAGGGTGCTTTTGAGACGTCTTAATAGCACCGTCATTTCACGTTGCCAACGCTGTGACAAGCCACATCCCCAACTCCTCTCATGCCCTTCCATCCTCTCTCTTCCTCCACTCTCCCCTTCCCCTCCAGGCGATTGCACCTTCGCCCATCATTCCGATATGTGTGTTGCTAACGCTATTTTCAACTACACCTCCAGCTCCTCACCTATTTCCCCCATTCCTTCGCCCAGACCCCCTCCTGCTCCCCCCTTGCCTCCGCCCAGCTCAAATCCTCTTTCCGCCCCTCCATCCCCTAATCTCCCCTCCGACCCACAAGACCACTCAATCCTGCTCCCTTCCTCGAAGCTGCTTTCCGCCGCAACCTTCTCAGAGGGGTTGGTGAGGCAGAAGCTGTTGTGCAAGGGGGGGGGTGAGAAGAAGGGAGAAGTGGAGGAGGGAGAAGGGGAAGAGGGAGAAGGGGAGGAGGGAGAGGGGGAAGAGGAGACGGTGCGGATGGTAAAGAGAGTGGTACAAGACGGTGCGAGGAGTGCTGCCCATGCCTTGCTTTTCGCTCCCACCGCTGCTGCTGCTATAGCTGCTTCTGCTTCTTCGGCTTTTGCTAGTCCTCCCACCTGTGAGTAGAGAGCATCACTGGGTGCAGCAGGGTTTTTTCAACGCTACAACCTGACAGAGGCACTCATGTTCCTCGCCCACTTCGCAGGGGATATCCACCAGGTGAGGTTGGTAGTGGTGCACTAATATGATAGCAAAGCAGCAAAGAAGCAAAGTGCAAAAGGTGCAGGTTCCAACATAAAAGTGCACTTTTGAGTCGACTCAAAAGGCGCCACAGACAGAGGCACTTATGTTTCTCGCGCACTTCGCAGGGGATATCCACCAAGTGAGCATGGGTTTGGTGAAATAATTTCAACAAGTGCCAGGGGTTAGCAGACAGCACAACCTGACAGAGGCACTCATGTTCCTCGCGCACTTCGCAGGGGACGTGCACCACGTGAGGGTGGGGGGGAGTGAACGTATAAGCAACGGCAAGGGGCACAGAAGCAAAGGAGCAAGGAGCAAAGGGTGGGGCGTCCATAAGAGGCTACAACCTCACCAGCTCGAATCCCGTCTCCGCCTCTCCATCCCCCAATCTCCCCCCCGACCCTCAAGACCCCTTTGCACCTTTGCCACGGGACAAAGGGTGGGCCGTCCATAAGAGGCTACAACCTGACACTGGCACTGCTGATGCTGGCGCACTTTGTAGGGACGTGCACCAGGTGAGCTGGGAGGCAAGGAAGGGTGCATGTATAACCCCATAGCCGCTCTTCAGCCTTTGCACGTGGGATGGGATGCACCTCATTTATGGGTAGCGTCAGAGGTGCAAGTTTTTTCTCGTGAGACTCGAGACTCTTCGAAAGGTAACAGGGTGCACGTGACATGGTTCAAGAGGAAAACGAACCTACATGCAATACGTATGCCCGCCCTGCCAACTATCAAGGCTGTTCTAAAGTTATCAGAATGCATGTGACATGGTTCAAGAGGAAAACGGACCTGCACCTGGTATGTCTGCCCTGCCCTGCCATGCCATGCCATGCCATACCATACCATGCATGCGATGTGCCCATCCTGGCCTGATGCAATATGCCATGCCATGCCATGCTATTCATGCCGTTTCAGACGATGGAAATGACTAGGATGACATCTGTAATGAGGTGACTTTTGAGTCGATCCGAAAGTCACCTATTAACCAGGATGATATCCGTAATCTGTTTATGTGGCATGTTGTTGGTGTTTTTATGGCATCTGTTTTTTTATTTTCCTCCACCCTTCTCCACACCATTTCACCACCCTGCCCTCCTTGAGGACACTTCCATGTATAGAAGGACTACATGATAGCCATGGCCATGGAGAGGGGTGGAGAGGGGTGGGAAGGGGTTTATTGGTCGACGAGGTGCAGCATGGTGGTACGCATGTGCTACAACGATAGCCACACCACCATCACATCGGCCCTCGTGTCTTTGGGGTCCTTCACCCTCTACACCCCTCTCTACCCCACTCTACCCATTTCTACTCCCCTCCACACCCCTCCACTGCTCTCCACTCCAGGTATGGGACAGCTACATCATAGCCACAGCCATCCACCTGTGCTACGACGGCAGCAGCACCGCCATGCTGCATCATATCGCCCACCAACTCGCCTCTGACTGGCGCACGCTCATTCCAGCCTGGACCTCCTGCCCTGAGGATAATCGTTCTTATGCTGCTGCTGCTGCTGAATCAGCATCGGCCATTTCTCCTGCTGAAGCTGCTGCCTGCCCAGCTGTGTAAGTGCCTTTTCTCTCTCCACCAACTCGCCTCTGGCGCCCCCTCATCCCTACATGGGCCTCCTGCCCTGGAGATATCGTTTTTCCTGCTCCTGAAGCTGCTGAGCTGCTGAGGCTATGGGTGCTTCTCCTGCTGAAGCTGTTGCCTTCCCTGCTGTATAAGTGCCACTTATCTCGCCACCAACTCGCCTCTGACTGGCTCCCTCACATTCCTGCCTGGGCCTCCTGCCATGGGGTCGTTGCCTCTTATGGTGCTGCTGCTGATGGTGCTGCTGCTGATGGTGCTGCTGCTGCTAAATCAGCATTGGTCGTTTCTCCTGCTCAAGCTGCTACCTGCCCAGCTGTGTAAGTGACCTGTCTGATGTTATGGGTGCTTTTACTGATGATTACGCAGCTGCTGAAGCAACACCAAACCTTGCTCCTGCCCGAATTGCTGCATGTCCAGCTGTGTAAGTGCCTCTGCTCTCCATATCCTTGTCCAATAGGAGGACACTGTGTCTTGTAATGTCAAGTCTGTTCTGATGTACCTTGTCCCACACTGTTTTCATTCCACACTGTTTTCATTCTTAAGTCTCTGCTCTGCCTTCTCTTCTGTTCATGCAACTGTGCGTTATTTTAACTCAGTTTTCTAAACTCAGTGGTTCTTGTGTTTGTGCAACTGTGCATAAACTTTAACTCGTATTTAAACTCAGTGGTTCTTCTGTTTGTGCAACTGCAGGTTGCGCACTACTGATAAGTCTGCCTTACATTTCTTGCGGGTCTGACTCCGTAATTCTTGGTCTTGAATTGACCCTCTGTTGTTTCTTCTTGCTTCTTGTATCTCCTCGTACCTCTTTGCACCTCCTCGCACCTTCGCACCTCCTCGAACATCCTCGCACCTGCTCTTATCTCTGCTCACTATCAGATATGCCATGGACAGCGGAAAATCGCATCCCCTCAGCATACTTGTTGGGCTGAGAAAAAGCCCTTAGGATCTTTGCAGGACTGATGTAATAGCGGAAGCTTTTAATGAAGTAGTTGAACCACCTTGCGCTAGTATATGAGGGCAAAGTAGATTGATTAAAACAAAGAGATACAAGATTATATAAGAGTACAAGGAATACGAAGAGGTACGGTTGTAACCACTTTACTGTTGCTGTTGCGGTTCGATACAGTGACGACTCGGGCAACTGCTCTGTAGCGAGTCAGTTGTGTGTCCTTGCTGTCGCGCTGTACTTGTCAGGTCAAAGGTCGCTGACCTTTGACTTTTGCGTAACCTCCAACAGTTACTTTCAACCTCCGAGGGTTGACTCGCCGGTGCTTCGATATGCTTCGCTTCGTTTGTGCCTTAGTGTTTCGACACGACAGAGGCGCTTAAGATCGATTGTTTCCAACAATACTCACCTGTAACTAGTGCACAATCACTCCACCTGTCCAACTGCCCAGCTGTGTATCTCATCGCATCTCCTGGCACCTATTTGCACCACCTCTGACAATCAGATATGCCATGGAGAGCACAAAGGATGCATGCAAGTGGGCCTATCGCAATGCGACACCTGGAGCTGTGCTTGGAGGTGCGTTGCTGTGCATGCAAAACATCGAGCCGTAAGGAATAATAGTTGCATGTTAGGCGGTGGCATTTTCGTGTCCTCGATGCTTGCAAAAATGACTTGCGGTGTTTCCGACATTTCTTGCAATGCATACCAACAGAACAGAGCCATTTCCCTGACTTGTCTACCATTCAAATTTGTTACTCTTTTTTCATAACAATTGTTTTCTTCTTACCACCTGCACCACCGTTTTTACCTGATTCCTCTTCCTCCCTTACCGTGCGTTTCGCCCAACACCACCGCATCGCACTGTCGGCTTCTTCATGAAACTCCACGGATGAGTATCTCAATTCTCGCCTGCCCGTGGTGGAACATTTGCATTGCCATGGGTGGGGTGCGCCTTGCCCGTGTTCTCAACCACATCTTCGCTCGACATAGGGATGTAAAGTAAATGCGAGTATTTCAATACTCGCCTGTCCGTAGTGGAGATTCGCATTGCTATGGGTGGGGTGCGCCTTGCCCGTATTCTCAACCACATCTTTGCTCCACTTAAGGATGTGCAGTAGATACTTAGGGTTTCGAGTTTGGGAGGATTTAGGGGGTAAATAGTGTATCCAAGCCAGGGTTTTTTTTTTTTTTAATTTCCACTACTCGGATTTCCAGAGCTGTTTTCTAGGGAACTCTGAAATTCAGGGTTAATTATGAGCGTTACTCTGATTTGTCAGAGAAAACTAAACTTATGAAAAATATGCTCTTGTCAGTCAGTGTAATTATTTTTCCAATTCTGAATGTCCTCTCAAGTTTTGAACCCAGTCCTTCTGCACTCCTACCAAAACTATAACCGTTGCGCTACGCTTACAAAGTACCCAGCTGACGAAAGTTATATAATTGTATCTAGTCGGCCTAACCATCTTCCACCAATTGGGGGGGGGGGGGAGGGGGGCTCGGTCGATATGCCTATACCCTGTACAGAGAAAAATACATTCGCCACAAATGTACACTGGTCTCTCAGAGTAGCTAAAATCAGAACCCTGACAAATCAGAGAAAACTTATCTTCCAAAAAAATTACCCAGACACGTCAGAGTGACCCCCTAAAAACCACTCTGATTTTCAGAGAAACAGAGTAATTTACTCTGATAAAAAAAAACCCTGATCCAAGCAATGAATGTACCAAAAAATCACTGAATAAATGTACATTCACGAAAAATGTGCTTCCTATCACCACTTGAAGTGCGATCGCTGATATGACATTTTTCCCATGCTTCCAATGCTGAATGGTAGAATGAAGCCTGGAACCAACTGTCTCTCCCCACCCCAGTCCCCAAACGCATTTAGCAGCTCAACGCTACTGTGTTTGCCGATTGCATGCATGCTGCTTTACTTCTCGACAACGTGAGCAATGATGTGCTACGCTAGGTAGCGTGCTGGCGGAAAATCTCTTTGGAATTTCCTAGCAGATTCTGAGCAAGAGTGAAACATCTGCCTAAAAGCGTTTACATAAGATGCACACTAGTACATGTAACGGTACACGCCCATGTGACACAACCATTTCAAAAACTTCGCGAACCGTCGCGAATAAACATTCTATCTTTCGCCTGCTTTCCTGCTGTCCTAGTGGGTTTCGTCAATTCTACGTATATTTGCTGTCTTTCACCTGAGTTTGTCAAGTAGAATCAGATCACTGAGTGTGTGGGCAGACTAGGTGTCCCTCCCAACTTCACACAGGTAGCCATGGCTGAAGTTGCAACTGCTCGACTTGCGTATTCGATAAGCAATCTTATGGGCCCTTTATACGCAATCTTAGGCCCGTCATCTTCGCAGGGTGCATTGTGATTCTCTCCTGATTTAGGGTTGAGGTTGAGTGCCGTGACGAGTCTCCGAGTCTCCTGCCGCACGCCGCGTGTTCCTTTTCCACCCTGCCGGCTTGATATTCCACTCCCTATGGCTCATCCGACGGTGGTGGTAGAACAGAACCCTCAGCGTACGGCTGTAATGGTCACCCTGAGAATAAACCATTGCATTCCGAACGATTCTGAACACTTGGTGCTGAACCGATCCAGCTGCTGCGGCGAACCACCCGATTGCCGGCGCCTTGCACGGATTGATATCGTGACGCCACGTGACGAGCGGCCTTCCTTCTGTGAGTCGCCGGGCCATCGCATGGCTCTGTTGATTCGACTTGCGGCGCAGCATCACCACACAATCTGCCAGAATCGACGGTCACACTGCGGCAAGCTACAGGAAACCTCGGAGGATCGAGCTCAGCCACTAACATTCCAGAGTTTCGAGAGAGGTGCTCCAAACATGATTTACCATCTCCAGATAGCCTGTAGGACCTCCAGACATATATTTAGGTCATGGGCTCCGGCAGTCTTACGAGACATACTGCCCGTGAGCTCTCGTAGTCCTGCTAGCTGGCTTCGAGGAAGGGGAAAGCGTCCCTCTGTTCTCGCCGATTTTGAACGTCAGTGTGGTGGTTGCGATGGGTGGGAGATGGGGAGCGCGCGGAGAGGCGGGGATGGGTGGCGGCAGGGAAACCGGCGCCGCGGGCACAAATGCGACGCGAGAGCGCCGTCGCCGCGTGTTTAAATCGCTGCAAATGCAAGGGGCTGAGCAGGAAGAAGCGCCAGCGAAGGCGTTCTTTCCGCGCGGCACTCCGCTGTACGTTTCCCTGCTGGATCTATCATGGGAGGGACTTACTAGTAGCATCTCCTTCAAAAGGTACCGCCCCGCAGGTAGACGTAATGGGAGGCTTCAAAAGGACCGCCCCGCCATCTCCCTCATCTGTGGGTCGCAGACAGCCTCGTCGTTACGTCTTTCAGTTTTTTAGGAGCCGCATGGACTCACCCCAACGCAGCTTCCACTTCGTCCCAATGGTCCAACCACCTCAACTCCTCCGTCCCACCCACTTCTGCCCCCGTTTTCTTCCTCCCTCCCTACTCAAACCTTCCGTACCTCCCCTCCCTTTCTCCTCCTCCATTCCTCCCCCTCCCTTTCTTCCCCTCCCTTACTCCCCCACCTTCCCCCTCCCCCACCGTCCTCCTTCTCCCACCTGCCCCACCGTCCCGCCAATCCCCCCCTTTCCACTATCCGCACTTGAACAGAATCTGCTGTCTCTCCTTCTCCACCTCTATTCAATCTCCAAGTCCCCCGTCTCTGTAAATCCTCTCTCCTACCCCACCGTTCAGAATCGTCTCTCCTCATCGTCCCTCTCATCGGATGCGCGTCTCTCCCCACCACTGCCGCGTGCTCTTGAAGCTGCTACTCTGGATAGCTTGCGCAGGCAGCATCAGCGTCTACCAAGCCCGCACAGTCTCAGCCCACGGCCTCAAAGGTACCAGTCTCTCCCCACCACTGCCGCATGCTGTTGAGTCTCCTACTCTGAGTAGCTTGCACAGGCAGCATCAGCGTCTACCAAGCCGGCACAGTCTCAGCCCACGGCCTCAAAGGTACCTGCCGTTGCTAAAAGCTGGTCTGGGCTGAACCATGGGTGTTGTTGTGCTTCCTGGCTCGCTTCCTGGCTCGCTTCCTGGCTCGCTTCCTGGCTCGCTTCCTGGCTCGCTTCCTGGCTCGCTTCCTAACTCGCTTCCTGGCTCGCTTTTTAATTCGCTTCCTGGCTCGCTTCCTGGCTCGCTTCCTGGCTCGCTTCCTGGCTCGCTTCCTAACTCGCTCCCTGGCTCGCTTCCTGGCTCGCTTCCTAATTCGCTTCCTAACTCGCTTTCTGGCTCGCTTCCTGGCTCGCTTCCTAACTCGCTTCCTGGCTCGCTTCCTGGCTCGATTCCTAACTCGCTTCCTGGCTCGCTTCCTAATTCGCTTCCTGGCTCGCTTCCTGGCTCGCTTCCTGGCTCGCTTCCTGGCTCGCTTCCTAACTCGCTTCCTGGCTCGCTTCCTGGCTCGCTTCCTAATTCGCTTCCTGGCTCGCTTCCTGGCTCGCTTCCTGGCTCGCTTCCTGGCTCGTTTCCTGGCTCGCTTCCTGGCTCGCTTCCTAACTCACTTCCTGGCTCGCTTCCTGGCTCGCTTCCTGGCTCGCTTCCTAACTCGCTTCCTGGCTCGCTTCCTGGCTCGCTTCCTGGCTCGCTTCCTGGCTCGCTTCCTGGCTCGCTTCCTGGCTCGCTTCCTAACTCGCTTCCTGGCTCGCTTCCTGGCTCGCTTCCTGGCTCGCTTCCTAACTCGCTTCCTGGCTCGCTTCCTGGCTCGCTTCCTAACTCGCTTCTTGGCTCGCTTCCTGGCTCGCTTCCTGGCTCGCTTCCTAACTCGCTTCCTGGCTCGCTTCCTGGCTCGCTTCCTAACTCGCTTCTTGGCTCGCTTCCTGGCTCGCTTCCTGGCTCGCTTCCTAATTCGCTTCCTGGCTCGCTTCCTGGCTCGATTCCTAACTCGCTTCCTGGCTCGCTTCCTGGCTCGCTTCGTAACTTGCTTCGTAACTCGCTTCCTGGCTCGCTTCCTGGCTCGCTTCCTGGCTCGCTTCCTAATTCGCTTCCTGGCTCGCTTCCTGATTCGCTTCCTGGCTCGCTTCCTGGCTCGCTTCTAACTCGCTTCCTGGCTCGCTTCCTGGCTCGCTTGCATCAGAGCAACCGCACTTACTAGTCCCATCTCCCCCCCACTCCCTCCAGATTGCGCTGACCAGGAGCGGCTCTCCCATCGTCCTGTCGGCTCTCCCATCGTCCCATCGTACAAAGAACGATCACGACGAAGCAGGCAGAGGGAAAGAGGTGAATTTTGATCGACTCAAAAGTCCCTTCCCCTCTCCCCCCCACTTCCTCCAGATTGCGCGGACATTCTTGCAGCAGGAACAACTCTCCCATCGCCTCTTGCCACGGCAACCGATTACGACGAAGCAAGCAGAGCAAAAGGGACGCCCTCGCGAGGGTACAAGCGCGAAGACGGTGTCTGCTGGAGCCGGGCCGAGATGGCATGCTACGCAGCGATAGGCAGCGCCGGGGTATCCCACAAGAGACGCCGCAGAAGAGCGCGCGCAGCCGCATGTGTCTGGTGCCCTTGAAACGAAAACTGCGGCTAATACCACCCTGGTACCGGCGGGAGTGCCTGCGAGTGGAGCCAATGGAACAGCTGCGAGCCACACTGCTAGCCGGCAATGCCACTGCCTGCCGCTACTTGCTCTACCATCAAACTATAGACGGGCAGGGCAACCGGCTGATGTCTCTCGTCTCCTCGTTTGCGTACGCGCTGCTGACGGGTCGGATTCTCCTGCTGGTGTCCCGCAGTGGTCCCGCTACAGAGTTCTGTGAGCCATTCGAGCATGAGGCATCGTGGGTCCTGTTCGATGGGTCGGAGGAAGAAGGGGAGAGGAATGCGAGGCTGCTACACAACCATGTGGCCCAGGAGTGGAGGAGCGTGAGGGAGGGAGAGGAGGCACGGGCGTCGGGTGACAAGCTGCTGCCACCAATGTGCGTTCTGTGCTGTGCTGTGCTGTGCCGTGCCGTGATAATCACTTGTTCTTGTTCCAGCGTTTCTTGTCAGTCATACTGTGTCTGCCTTCTCACATGCGTTGTACGCGCAGCTTTACCCATGCTTAACGGATGGATTGTTCTCATAGCCTTTACGAAGCGTATCGAAGCTCTCACCGTCCACTTCGTCAATCCTTGTGTTCCCCTCATCCTCTCCCTCATTCCGATTCTTTCCCTTTCCCTTCCCTTCTTGCTCCCGCAGGCTACGCCTGGACATTAACCAAGCAACCTCCCCGTCTGGCTTCTTGTTCTTCTGCGAGGCAGAGCAGCAGTGGCTCTCCCACACGGCCACGTTACTCCTCACCTCCAACCAATACTTCCTCCCCGCGCTCTACTCCTCCCCTCCTTCCGCCGCCTCCTCCGCCTCCTCTTCCCGGCGCACATGCCCTTCCGCTCGCTCTCCCGCCTGCTGCTTCTTCCCCCCGCAACCGCATCTGGGCGGGCATCACCCACCGCTACCACACCCTCCTTGCCCCGGCGCCCGCTCGTGTCGGCCTGCAGGGGCGCTTTCAACGCATGCAAGGGAGAGCACAGTAGCTTGGTACACTACCGCTATGGGGCGTTGCATGCTGCAAGCTCTCAACTCCTCCACCGTGCAGAGAGCAAGGGGTATGCGGCTTGCCAGGGAGGCGGCTTGCAGCCAAATCAGGGTCCTTTTGAGATGCGGCGGGGACGGGATATGCGAGAGGGGGAGGGAGGGGGAGAGGGAGTAGGCTCAGCAGGGCGGGGCACGAGTGGGAGTACTGGGCACGGGGTGGGAGGTGTGGGTGAGAATGGTGCACTCCGGGGTGGTAAGTTTGATTCAAAGACGACTATAACAGTGAGTGGTAGTGACAGGAGCAGTGTAGGTGGTAGTGGTAGTGGTAGTGGTGGTGGCTGCAGCGTGGGGGGTTCATGGGGTGATGTGACTGAGGTAATGGTAGCGTCTCTCAACCAAAACCTAGTGCATAACCTCTCAGAGGCAGTGACGGCTGATGTGCCTGTAGCGAGAGTGACAGTGGGAAGTGACACTGCTTGTGCTCCTACACAGGAAGAGCCACCACCCAATAGTACTGCCTCCACTGCTGATCCTGCCGCGCCTGCTGCTACTGTAACTCCCGTTATAAGCACGGACGCTAGAAGCAGCAGCACCAGTAGTGGCACTGGCAGCAGCAGCAGCAGCAGCAGCAGCAGCAGCAGCAGCAGCAGCAGCAGCAGCAGCAGCAGCAACAGGAGCGGCAGCGGCGTTGGCAGCAGCATTAGCAAGAGCAGCAGTGGCACTTCTGGGTATGGCGTGCATATAGTGCACTTGACCGCAGATGACAAGGAGAACACCACCAATACGGCATCGGTAGACCGAGCCATCATCGACATCTACACCCTCGCTCTCTTTTCCGATGCTCTTATCATCTCCAAGACTTCTACTTTCGGCTACCTCTGTGCATCCCTCTTTGGAGTGCCCCATGTTACATTCGTGGGGCACACTTGCATTCCCGCTGTTTCCGAGCCGTGTATGCACTGGCCCCCCACCAATGATCGATGCCCCGATGGAAATCCACAGAAGCTGCAGCTGCTCCTGGCTGAGAAGCCAGATGTGCCCCTCATGCCCTGTATGGACAGACCCAATTCACTTGGGATCAAGCCCTTAGACAGTGCCAGAACGACTATTCCTACTACCAGCCCTGAGGTCCAAGTCGAAGGGCCTTGGGCCAGGCCTTTCTCTTTCACAAGTGATTAATTTTAACTCTGAAGAATTATAGTCGATGTTTCAAGTTAGCCTTTCATTTCAGGTTTTGTGGCCAATGCAACCTGGCTTTCAGTGTATTTTATTTAGATGTGTAATCTACCTGCTTTTATAGGAAGATTTCGAATTATGTTACAACATCTACAACCCTGTCAGGAATTTTCCTTAATTCCTTATCGGGTTGACTGCTACGCGTACAGCCCGGTTTTCGGACTTCGCACGTTCGGCCGATTTCAACGCTGCCGAGGCTCCTCGCGTCGCCTTCGGCATTTTCCATCGCCAAACCTGCACCCCAACCTCGCTCGTCCGAGGTTTCCTCCTAGCTAGGCTAGCTCCTACATTAGTGTGTTCCTTCATTGTATTCTCAGATCATTCAATCACAGTCTCGCTATTCGTTTACCTGCGCACTCTCTTTTATAACTCATAACACCTGGTTTCAGAGCTACTTTCCTAGTTCACCTCGCTTTTCCGATGGTAATTTGGTGGCATAGGGTGTGGCTGGTTTAGTGACTACACGACGGTTGGCTGCAGGGATTGTTAATTCAATCCTGCCCGACTCCGATAGTTCGTGTTTTCACTTGCCTGAAGGCCACGGAGACCCGACTGCCCACCAGACGTAGCGCTAGGCACATGGATCAGGAGGCGGTTAACAGGATGATGGCACAAGTGGCAGAAATGCAGGAGAGCATGAAGACATTAATGGCGGAAGTGACAACACTGCGAGAGGAAAACGCCGAGCTACGCCAGACGCGAGGTGAAGCGCGTCAGGAGTCGCCTGTGGACGAAGGCGAGGGCAACAGTCAGGTGATGAGCAATCCGCTGGATGCGCTCACACGTGACTTCGAAGAAGAAGATAGGCAGCGAGCGGCGGCAGCGCCAGTTGCAGTAACGACGATCAAGATCAAGCCCGTCAACCCGCCCCCGTTTAATCCTACGGACAAGACGGTTACAGTAAAAGGGTGGCTGTTCGGGTCGAGGTCTTGTTCACTGCAGCAGGAGTTAACGACGACGCCACGCGTATTAATTACGCGGTTTCGCTTCTTCGAGGTGCAGCGCTTGAGTGGTGGCGCCGAACCTTGGAAACAGGGACGCCGACAGGTGTGACGCATGCGGCAGACGGACCTCAACAGTGACTAATCAAGTGGCACAATCAATATTCGGAGTGACCACACGATACGCACGTGGAAGGAGTGGGCGCAGCCTTACGAGATCGCTTCGAGCACGTATCCGCCTCGGAGCAAGCTCGCATGAAGCTGCGTGCATGGTCGCAGATGGCTTCTGTCCAAGACGACACACGGCGTCATTTATGGGCCTCGCCGACCAAGTTGATGATATGTCGGAAGCTGAGCGGTTAGATAATACATCAGCGGCCTCAAATACGAGATACAGTACGAGGTTCGCAGGGGCCGCCCGACATCATT